GATAAGAGTGGGTGGAGGAAGATGCGGCAGCTTTGTCGAGGGTTCCTTTTGCTCAGCTTGCTTTGCCTCTCCTTCTAAATAAAGGAAATATCGCTCACGATTTTGGGAAACTGCTTCCCTCCATGTGAATCCAAGAAATAGCGGTAGTTTTAATAGGAGGTTGCACTAAAACAGAGAGCCATGCAGGCTTGTGGTTGGTAAGCTTAGCTTAGCTCAAAGACTGGAAACAGATGGAGGAGTTAGCTTTCCTCTGCCTAAACAAAGTGGAAATTATGAATCACTGCTGATTCAGAGCGTTTTGCTAACCTCCAGCATGTGCCATCACCGATTGTACAGATTGCACACCTTTTTCTTCTTCTTCTCCTCGTCATCATGCTTTAAATGCACTTTCTCACTCTATGTTTGTCACGCTGATTCATTTTCAACTTCACCGTTTTACTGGTTCACTTGCAACTTTCAGTTCAGAGCAGAAAAGCTCATATTGCATTTTTGTTGTTTCTGTGGCTTTTGCAGTCTATTAGTGAGAATTTAACAGGCTGATGACACATATAGCCTCAAGCAGCAGTAGCTTCAGTTACCAGTGAAAGGAGCTCAGCCACCGCTGCTTCGAATGAATACCACGCCTTATTAAATCGTTATCATCTTCAGTCATCAACATAAAATTCCAAAGAACTGCTGAGATGCAATATTAGGTAGAGTCTTATCAATACTCCACCTTGTTATTTTCAAGAGCAATGCAAACAATATATTTTCCCAGCCAAATTCAAAATTGTCCACAGAGTTTAGTCATCCAGATCCAGTTTAAATGAATTGCAATAAAAGCTGCAACAGTTGTTTTACTGATCTTTCTTTTTTTCTAATAGTTCCTACAAGATGTTACAAGTATAATAAAGAATTAATGACCTCCATTTAGGAAACCATCCAAATAGTTTTAGATTGACTTGTGTCCAATCTGCATGTGAAAAAATGCTTGAGGGACTCACTTCAAACCCCAGTGGTATTGTATTATAAAAGTGTGGACTTGCATCATTTAGGAGGATTTTAGTTCAGTTGAATGGGTTTGTTTAAACAGTAACAAATCCTGGGATTTAGCCAACTTCTCAGCTTTACTGAAACTAAGCGAGGATCTTTTGCTGGTTTTCCATTTCAATACAGAAGCTGGAATTTCCAAGTTCCTTGTTGGAGAACTGGAAGGGAAGTCCCCTTAATGTTGTAACACTGACTTGTAAATTTGAAGATTTCTTAATAAACTCTGTCCTCAAAAGCCAGCATTGATTTTCTGAACCAGCTGAACAGATATCCTTTGTATGTTTACCCTTGGCGCTACTTTGCTGCTATAAATTAAACACTTGTTCCTATATAAACAATTTGTAGACATGTTACTTGACATTACACCCCCAAAATGTGGTTCAACACACGTCATGGATTTAAAATCAGTGTGTTGAAAAGATGGTCTATGAAAACAGGTGAACTATTATATTCATTAAATATTTTTCTCAAAAATGGTTCTTTAACAATCAGTTTTTTGATCTGCTCACTTCTGTCTATTTTAAGCACCTTTCAGAATGATCGGCTTCCTGTCACTTTAGATACAAATAAGCTGCTGGCCACACTCCCCAACTTAACACTTTCACTCACACATGAAAATGGCTGCAAACAGGTGCACAATTATACAACTGTACATATTTGAAAAGCAGAACTGGAGCCTCCTGCACAACCACTGAGAATGCAACAAATGGTTTCCAAATAGGTAAGTTAAGAATGAAATACTTGTCTTTTCCAGCAGCCATTGTAAAGCACGTTCAGCAGCAAAACCAGCTGGCCAAATAGGGTGGAGTTCAGTTGAGTTGTTTGGTAACAGGCTGGGCTATGCTGGGTTTGCGAGGTAAAAGTACAATGCCTAATTTAACAATGGCTCATTTTTCAGACATAAGAAAAATTACCTTTATGCCAAAACATGTCTGGGTGTGTTTTTAAGTGCTTTGGCTGTTTTCAGAAGCTAAGAGACCCAAATGGAAGTAAATTTGAATTTTGCATAACATGTCTGCTTTAAGTGCATTAATTCCAGTCTTTGTGCTAAGATAACAGAAAAGAACCCTCTAAAGAGCCTTGCTCTGAAATTGTTAAAGAGAATAATTTGTGTAGTTAAGACAAACCCTGCTGCCATTGTTTTGTAACAGAGCTTTTCAGCAAACACTCTGCCAGTGTCAAGACTTCACGGAGTGTGCACATGGTGCTGGATCCATGGTGGGGCATAGACTTTGGTATCATTCGCTTAGTGGGGTATCCCCACCACAGTCCTGCACTGTGCACCAAGTCCATCAAACCCTGAGTTGCACAGCAGAGTCGCTCTTTCTCCTTTCCTCCAAAGGGGGGAAACACAGAGAATCCAGATGTTCAGAGTATGTGCTCACCTCTCCCTCCAGCTTCCACTTTCTCAACACGCACAAACACATAACTGTCTGTACATGTCACCTAGTTACCTCAGTCAGCTGCAACCTGGCATTAAACTGAACAACAAGCCCCCTCGTCGGGCTTCAGAGACCAGAGAGGGGGCAGCTTTGGTGATAAAGCTGCTACGAGGCCGACCCAGATCCAGAGCTGATCTGAGATCCGAGTCAAAGAGCAGCATCAAGCCCACAGTCCAGGTTTGACAGGGAGGAAGCAGTGAGGCTCGAATGTGAGGAGAGGGTTGAGGTCCCAGGGAGGGGGGAGCAGCGTGCAGCTATGCGGAGACTGATGAGGAACCAGATCTCACAGAGCAAACACACCGACCTGCACCTGGACCCATTCCAGGACCCTGATCCGCACCTGAACCCCGCTTTTTAAAGCATTCATCTATTTGGTTTATCATCAAAGAATATGAGGTATATGATGAACTATCTCTCTTTTACATCCGACAGTGGATGAAGAAATAATTTTAAAGCAATCGTACAGGAAAGTGAAAACAAAACAAGATACAGAAGCAAAACGAAACAGAGAGAAAACAAGAAGTTAGTTAGAGGGTAATGTGGGACTCTGCTTCCTTCTGTTGTCTCTCTCATGAAAAAAACACTTCAGCTTTTTGCCCCCGTTGATGCTCTTCTTCTGTGTTTTTGGCGTAACAGTGAAGCTCTTGGTTTGATGTGGAGAGTATTAAAAGAAAGAAGCAGCTCTGTGCCACAAGGCGTACCTCACGATAAGATTCACAGTCAAACCGCTTTCATGTTTACTCATCAGAGTTTGAACTTCAAGAAGATCGAAGGGAAAATTTAAGTCAAGGAAATCAAAAATGTTAACTTGTTCTATGTCGAAAAGCTCATGAGGTGTTTTGTGCACAGTGCTGCCATTTTAAATACACAGGGCCAGCAACATTAATGGAAACACCAGGTAGAGATGTGTAGAAGGCTCAAAATAAATTCATAATTTATTGCAGGAAGAAAGTTCAATGTGGAGAAAATACCATGTGGTAACTAGAGGTAAAATGGTTGGTACTCATGTTGTTAATTCATTTCACAACCATCTTTTGCCAACAGTGTGTAGATCTGGGGATTGAGCTGTACTTCATTTTACATCTAGTGAATCATGTTTTCATTGTTTTGCTAATTTTCCAAACATAATTGATCGTTTGATGATCCATGCTCATTTTTCTGAAAAATTGCATCAGGTTTTTATATAAAATATTCTGGTAGTTAAAAAAATTTGAGGAATTTAAGTAGCTATTTTTGTGGCAAATTAAGATTAACACATGGACCTTATTGAAATAGCATGATCTAATGAGAGTCTTTTTTTGAGAACTGTCAAGAGAAATGATCTTGGTGTCACAAAAGTATATACCCAAGACAAACAGGAAGTTGTGAAATATTAATTAGAAAATTATACTTTGATCCACAACTTAAATTAAATTGATGCAATAAATATAAAGAAATAATTAGATGCCCTAATAAGTGTGCCATCAATGACATTAAAAACAATTATCACTCATCATTGGATTTTCTAAAGATTTTCAGTGTAGGATTATATTATTGCAATAAAATATGACTTTATTTAAAGGCTTTTACACGTCTTTACTGATGTTGAACTGTATGTAGAGTTTCTCCAGGGCTTTTAAAATAAATTTCTGGTATTATTTGGTGTAAAGAAGCAAAATGAAGACCTTTCACAGGGGGCATAAAATAAGAAAATCCATTACAAACCCATCACATGATCAGAAAAGCACCTCTAGAAATAAATTAACAAATAAATAGACAATCCAATAAATCAACCCTGAATAAATAGTACAATCAAAAGTCTAAATCATAATTGGAAAAAAAAAGAGGAATTAAAAAAAAAAAAAAATCCAAAGAGAGATAGTTAAAATTTTTGGTCTAAAATCAAGTTATCGATGTTTTAAGGATCTTTTTTCTCAAAGTCTTTTTTTTTTTTTAGTTTTTTTTTCTTTTCAGTACATCAGCGATAAGTAAGCAGTAGAACATAGATTTTTTTTCTACAAAATCTATAGAAGCACTAACAGATACATTCCGTCTAAGAGTCAATGTGGAGGGAAGGCCTCACCTTTAAGGTGCAAACCCTCCCTGCCACATCTAAAGCTTGGTTCGTGAAATGATTCTCGTGTGTCGACTGTTTCGCCCGGCGAGGATCAAACCAAATATTCTTTGGATAGAGTCCAACTCCCCACGCGTCAAATAAACCGAGGCCTACGCTGCGAGTACAGCTCTGCATCTTAAAGTGTAGCTCAGATTGCCATCTTTGGGTTCAAAAATTACAAGACATCACTCCTGACCCAACCCACGTCTTCATTTTTAAGCCTCCAATGAACACTTGCATGCAGAAAACGCTCATCTCAGACAAACTGACCCGTTTTCTTTGTCCTCGTGCACAATTTGGTTTGCTTCAGTATTTGGTTTGACGAGTTCAAGATTTGCTGCTCAATTTGGCTTTTGTGTCGTCTATTCCCCCCTCCCACCCCCCGCCAGGACGGGCTAATAAAAATCTGGAAGCTAAATTTTCACAGTATTTTTTTGTTTTTATCGTCAACCACCTGATAAAAATCTCTAGCACGACTACGAAAAAAATAAGGAGCTCTTGTAGTAAGTAAGTAAGCGAGTACGTTATTCCAAATAAGTAATAAGCACTAAAATACAGTACATGAAACGGCATCAAGAGACACAGCAGAGGGGAAAAAGGAATCAGAATCAAAACTAAAAACGTTTGAAATAAAAACAGATTTCAGTTCAGTGAGGTCATTTGCGTTTAGCTCCATCCAGGACCAGAGAGCCGAGCTGGAGAAAGGGAGGCAGAGGGAGGGACCCATTCTTTGTTTTTCTCGTCTTTCCACCTGTCTGTTCATCCCTCCATCAGTGCTACACAGTTTCAGAGCGGGCCGCAGTTCTGCAGGCCGAAAGCTAACAGACGGACAGGCGGATGTCTGCTGGTCCTCCTCCCCTCCTCTCTCCAGCCACATTTGGTTTGGGTTGTTTTTGGTTTGCTTCAGTCATTCCTTGGGTAGAGAGAGTTCGTCGTTTTGGTTTGGGTTCGTTTTTGGTATCCTCTTTAAAAAAAAGTGTGACTACCCTTCGTTGTGTGTCTGTGTGTGTGTGTGTGTGTGTGTGTGTGTGGGGGGGGGGGGTGTTCAGAGTAAAAGATCCGCCCCTAAATAAAGCTTTCAGGTGGAGGAGATTCTCCAGTGGGGCCTTTCAGTGGCAGCATCCTGTTCTCAGCCCCGTCCCTCAGAAATAACCCCCCCATGGGCGCCTCTTTATTGTGTTTATGTCTCGGCTAAGGCTCGAGAAGAACATAATGCTTTGGTATCTATTTGAGGATTAATGGAAGAGTGGGGTGGAAAATGACATGTGAAATGTGACTGATGAAGTGATGATGGAAGCAGACATATACATCGAGACGTACAGATGTCAGGCGGTCTGTGCTGATAGACAACGCAGGGACGAGAGCAAGCTGTGACTAAACTCGGTTTTATTGACTCATTTAGCCTCCAGTCTCAGTGGTTATTCCTTCAAATCTCCCATCACAGCCCCTATTTCATACTTTCAACATCATTTTCAGCGTGCGAAGTTTCCTGGGCATGTTCATTTAGACACGGACTGCCCTGATAACGAGCTCAACAAGTATCAAACACATCAACGATTCTCTCAGTAAATATATTTCTAACGTGGCAGCTGAGATGAAATCCAGATCAGATGTTGTTAAAAAAAACACTCACATAAAAAAACAAGCAGCCCCCCAAAAAATCATAACAAATTAGTCCGTAATAAAGTTATCTGTAGTAAAGTGGAATCTGATCTGTATTGAGAAAGTTTATATAAGTGTAAATAAATATTGGTTAGTCCATTAAAAGTGACCCATTGTGCTTCCTTCAACAGTTGAGGATTCTTCTATTTTTCTGTATGAATCATGTTTATTTCATTTTTTTGCACAAAATTATTCTTAGATAATGAGAATTTTTGAGCTGTTTTAAAACAGCTCAAAATAGCTGTCTTTAGATCCAAATAGGTTGCTGCTGGCCCTTTAACTCATGTTCACATTCACATGTGAAAACGGCTGCAAACAGATGCATAACTATGCACCTGTACGTCTTTGAGAAGCAGTAGTAGAGCCTCCTGGCCATTCAACAGCAATGCAGCAAGTGGGCTCTGAATAGTTGGCCTACAACAAAACACTTGTCTTTTCCAGTAGCCATTGTACAGCACATACAGTGGCAAACTTGCTTGGGTTGCCAGGTAATGGGAATGGTGTTGCTAGGTAACAGCAATGTGCCTGTTGATTGTGCATTAACAATCAGGAGGTTATTTTCCAAAAACATTAAGTTATTGCCCAAAATACAGCTGACTGTTTATTTTAAAGCTGCTTTTAGAAGCAGTTGAGAACCGAATGGAAGAATAAAATGTGCAAAATGTGAATTTTGCATAATAAGAAGCATGACACTTGTGTGTCATGCTCTTCTTAAGTGTCATGCTTAAGAAGAGCATGACACTTATTTGCAAAGAGCTTTCTGAAAACCTTATTGTTGTAAATCGAAGGGATGCCGTTGGTTGCTCACATGTTTCTAAGGTTCTGAATATTCCAGAGAGCTAAAGTTGAGTTAAGTAGAACATCATTTCACCATAAACCAGTGAAATGAGGGGGAGACCAGGTGGTCCTGCCAGTAAGTCTGATAACTGAGTTTAATGGATAGTCAGAAAAGTTTCTCAGGAAAAAATTAAAGCCTCCAAGGACTTTAGAAAGACTTGGACTTAACCTCTATTAGGATACAATAAAACAAAATTTATTTCAGCTGCCATTACCAAAAAATACTTTTGTGGCTCAGTTTTTAATACATTTTATCATTTTTTTTTTACATATAAATTCATTTATGGACTAACTTATTAGGATCCCTCATTTTCTTTTTACTGAGAAAGAAACAGCATTTAACACTTTCATCTTAAAGAGTGAGGGTCGGGCAGTCTCTATAAGCGCTTAAACATGTCAACCTCTTCCTAATGAATGAATTCGCACTGTAAGTTACAACAAAGTGAGCCACCTGGATCTGCGAGCTAGCGGCACTTAGTGAGGACTGGATCACTTTTGCCATCCGTCCTGCTGCAGGACGAGTCGCGTTTCAAACAAAATACATGGCAATGATGATACAGACGAAGATGATGGCAATGATAATGATGAGAGCTAAAACTACAGTAGCACACAACAATAAATAGGAGCTGAAATGTGTAACAGCACTAATAAATAGTAAAAAAAACAAAAAAACAAATGTTAAACTGTACTTAGAAAATAACGTGTTAAAAAGTTGGACTTTAGAAAACGAATGCAATTTTACGCTCTTCTAGCAGACACTCACACACATGATGCAAAAAGTAACACTATTTTACAAAATTATAAAAAGAAAATCAGTGAGAGACACATGAAGTGAGAGAGAATGAGTCAGTGACAGGATGAGCTGGTTCTTCATGTTTCGTATGCTTGTGTGTTTGCTTGTTGCAGTAGCTGTAGAGTCCTGGTCCTGGATAGCTTCAGTATTTACACGTCCTTTGAATAAAGCTTTTCTCTCCGTATTTTTGGTATTTGTGATTTTGGTTTGGTTGTCGTTTTTTTTTTTTTTGTTTGTTTGTTTGTTTTGTTTTTTTTTTGTCTCATTGTGTCTCCACCTCCTCCTCAGGTAAAATTTTTGGTTTAAACGTATCCTCCTCGCATCGCCTCTTCATCTTTCAGACCCGCAGCTTTTTGGAAAATGATATTGAAAAAAAAAAAAAAAAGGATAGTTCTCCTCTTTGTTTCTTTGTCCGCGCTGCCATTCCTTCTTGTCATATAGTCAAAGTTATCTTTTTGTCATTTTTGGTTTATGCACTCGGACGTGCCGTCTCTTCCATCTCTTTGTTGCAGAGTCATTGGTTTGTTTTCTTTCAGAGAGACGTGCCACGTCGCACGTTTTAGAGAAAAATGTCCATTGCTGTCTCAGTTTCATCCTACTGGATACATAAAGATTTTTGGTTTCAATCTTTCTCCTCCTTTTCCCTTCTCTTACTTCTTTCCCTCCTTCTCTCCTCTTTCATTCTGTGTATTTTTGGCATCGAAAGACTTGGAGAGAAAGACGGAGAGAGATGCCGGGAAAAACAAAAACAAAACAAGAACAAAAACGGAAGAAGAGCACAAGAGAGAGAAAGAGATAGCTTTGGTGTGAAAGGCGAGGTTCTTGTTTAATCCTTTCTGCTCCTCTCTGATTGACCCCCTGGTGTGGTCACTCGATCTTGGGCCCCCCCAGGGAGGACGGGCTGTGTGCCATTTCACTGGAGGAGCAGGAGGAGGCAGGGCTGGAGCAGGGGGAAGGGGAGCAGGGCGTGGGGCTGATGCTGCTGGCCGAGGGGAAGTGTGAGGGCTGGGAAACTTTGGCTATGGCGGCGCTGACCAGTCCAGCGCCGGGGTTCTGACCCATGTGAAGGAGGGTCGGGTGGTTGAGGAAGAGGGAGGAGGGAAGCCCGCCTCCTTGACCCCCAGACGACCCAAGCATCACCTTGCTGCCGCCCTCAAGAGTGGAAAGAGGCAGCTGGCCACCACTGGCTGCTAGGGCTGGGGACAGAAAAGGAGATGCAGGAATTAAAAACTTAAATTCTTTTACTTTTTTATTATCGTCATGTCAACATGGTTGTCATTTGATCCTGTAGTTTACACACTGAAAACAACAACTGGTGGTCCACCTTAAATATATGAATATATTTTAATTTATTTTTAAAACTATATAAAAATATATTTTTAAATAAATGTCAATATATTTTAATACATTATAATATATTAAATGTATTTAATATAACCTAATATTAAATACATGTAATATTATATAACTATATTACTATGAAACGTATTTATTAATATATATTTAAAGAATATATACAAATGCATTTTTAATATATTAAAAGATATAAAGTTACTTAAGTATGTAATCAAATCAGTTTTATTTAAATAAAGTTTAATAAGCTGCTGCGTTAAGCAAATGTAGATAAAGTAAGTTTGACAAACTTAAATGTGCCAAATTAACACATTTGTATTCAATTGGAGCTCCATTTTCTTTTTTTCAATGCAGTTCATCCCTGTTATCTACTTTATCAAAGTCAAGGTTGTTTTTTTCTCTTTTAATTTAAATGTTCATCTTTCATTCTGAAATATCTAAGCTGTTACTTTTCTTGCAATGATCAACACAGTCCCCCATATTTAGACTCCTTAAAAACTGTTGATAAGGAGCAGAATCTGCTCCATCTAGTTTGCGCATTTGTACCACTTGCTGTTTCATATTAATTAGTTGATTCTTGTTTGTAATTTTGCTCATGGTGGGTGGAAGATAAAAATCAGAGAAAGTGATTCATTGACATATTTTAGCATATGACCCCAAGATGAGTCACTGACTTTCCGTGTAAAGAAACCTTAAATAATATCAAAAGAAAAGTCAAGTCTTAGATAATATAGATAATGCAGAGCGCTCTGTCGGTCATAAATCGTGTGTCACACAGTATATGATAAATAACGTCAAAACGGTGACAACATCCTAATGCGGAAAAGTTTGCACTAAAGAACACCGAATGAACATCATGTGGAAATACCGAAGCAGCATCTAAAGACATCAGTCAGGAGCAAATTTGGGAGCAAATGGGTTGAAACAAACCCATTTCATCGCAGCTTAATGACACCAAAGTCAAAGTTTAGGACTGGCCATCACAAAACCCTGATCTCAGTCAGATAGGAAATCTACAGAAGAGGCGGCCTGTGAACCTGACTCAGTTGCACCTGTTCTGTCAGGAGGAATGAGCGAAACTTTCAGCAAGCCACTGTGAGAAACTTGAGCAAGGAAACCCAAGATATTTCACCTAAGTCTTAAAGTTGAAAGGAAATCCTGTTAACTACCCAGATGTGCAAACCTCTGGATTTGAAAACAATTAAAATAAACACATGCATGTTTATTTGTTTGTTATTCTGGCAGTAAGAAAAATGAAATTAAGGTTCTCCATAATCAGACTAAGTCTGGCATAAAATCTGACTTAATATCAGATGAGAATAAAAAGGCAATGCATGTAATAAAATGCTTAACTAAATATATAGTTTCAAGATTCAAGCTCCCACTAAAGTCCACGAAAACATCAAAACTTCTATTTCATTGAAGAAAGGCACATTTTGGTGGCTGGATGATTGTTTTTTTTTATAGTTTCTTGACATTAAATCAAATACACTCATATTTATATGATTCCTAAACAGAAAACTAGCTTCTCAAACAGATGGTCTCCTGACTCAAAGAGCGAAATACTGACGTTAAAATGATTAAAAACCCCCAAAAAACAGACGAAAAGGGTAAAGATGAGCAAAATCAGCATCTGACAAACAAAAACACGAGCCCACACATTAGCGTAAGCACAGTGACACACAAGCACACACACACGCTGGGATGGATTAATGGCTGTAGATGGCGACGTCTGATGAAAAATAAGCTATTTATTTCCTAAGGAGCACGCTCTCTGTCTCAGCTGTTTCACACTGTTGATGAGCAAACACACTCGGCTGCCTATTCATCCGTGTCTCCAGTCGGTAGTCAACCAGAGCGCCTTGATTCACCCACTGTGTGTAACTTTATTAGTCATCATCGCACTTCTGTTTTTGATGAGGCCCCCTGCCCCCTCCGTCAGGCTCTCTCTCACCCCGTGGAGGTGATTAAAACCGATCGGTGTCAAACTGACGCTGGCTCTTCAGAGGTGGGGGGTCATTGGTAGGGGGAGAAACCTGGAGTTTGTTTTAAGGCTTTTCTCGCGCTGCTCTCAAGTGTAGGAAGGTGAATAACGGTGCGTGTTGTGTTCTGCGTGTGCATGTGAGTTTCAAGGTTCACATCTGTGTGGGAGTGAGCGAGACTGTAACTGCTTAAGCGGAGGAAAATCTGCGAACATGCGTTTATTTACAGTGCCCTGTCAAACATTTCCACATCTTGTCACATGACGACCACAGCCAGAAGACAATATGTGGTTTTACAAACATTGCAAATAGAAGTATGGATCTGTTTACAGAGCGCTTCCAGTTATCTTAAGAAGTCGCCTGTTTAGATGATTAGTGTAGTGTTGAAACAAAATCCTGAGCCGAGCATTTAAAGACACAGCTGAGGCCATTATCTGATGGTGAAGAGAAACCTATCAACCCACTGAAACTGACATGGGGAAAGAAGCATTAATCTCTCACACAAGAGACCCATGTCAGCTTCAGAGGGGCTGCATAGATCCACAGTTAAAATAGGAGAACTTCTTCATGAGAAACCTATTACTCATTCACTTATTCATTAGGGTACGAAAGAAAGTCATTGCTGAAAGAAAGCCATGAAAAGTCCCGTTGTTTCATGCCACAGGGTCTGACCCGGTATGTGTACAGAATGGTAAGCTGCCATCTCTATTGTGAATTAAAGCGGTGGCAGCATCATGCTGAGCAGGGTCAAGGAATTAAAGAGAAAAAAGATGGACCTACATAGAGACTGCAGAACACGAAAGACTTGGGCCAGAGAAATGGCCTAGTCAAAGTCCAGATCATATACAACTGAGTATCTGTTGAACGTATCTAACTCTATTTTCCCACAAAATCAGGACTGATATTTCAATCTCTAAATGTATGAAGCTGATAGAGATGTACATTAAAATGCACAAGTTTTGAGTCATGGAGGCTGGGTACAAATGCACACCACACTTTTCAGATTTTATTTGCAAAACCCCTTTTAACACAAGTTGTCACTGTATGCACCAACACTGTTGCGTTTTTATTGGTCCATTGCATAAATGGAAATGAACAAATATAGGTATTATCTCAAGGCACTGCATTTTAAAAAAAATATTGTTTCACAACAATTTTAACATTTTTAGGATCAAGTGTTTATTAGCCGCTAAACCGTTATTTTTCCTTCATTAATTATTAAATGCCTGTGCCTCCATTTCTCTGCTTTTACAAACACACACCTTGGATAGTGGCCAGGGGATTGTTACCGAGGAGGGCTTGGTTCATCCCCGTGTTAACTCCCATCACAGTGTTCCTGTTGCGGCACACGCGTGTGCATGCATGTTCACAAACACAGACAGGCAGAGGAGAAGAGGTGAGGAGAAAAAAGCAAGTTCAGCAGCAAGAAAGGCAAAGGATAAACTCATCCATCTAGACAGACCTCTGTCTGAGGAAGGCTCAGAAAAAGCAAGAAGGAAAAAGTTCAAAGCTCTAAATATCTATTCATTTGTTGCAGTTAATTCACACAAAGCTAAGGTATACAACCTTGTTTTAAGAGTGATATGTGCAGCCCGTCTCACCTCAAGTTTGCAGCAAAGTCAGTGATGTAGTTGGACATTTCACCGTTCTTTTTACCCATACGCCACAAGCTGTGAACACAACACACAGACACACACAGGATTAGATTTTATCACTGCAAGGAGGAAGTTGAAGTATAAAGTGGAATGGTTGATTATGAATGTATGCATTTGTGCTGGGTGTCAAGAATTTAAATACAAACTGCAGGTAAGCGCTGCATGCTGCTGTGCATTATAAATTGGAATTATATTTATGAAAATGTGTGGTAATGTGAAGCAGCACTGTGGGTTTAATTTGCCTAAATTGAATGACTTGTGATGGGAAGTGTGCAAAAAGAAACAGTGATTAACAATGCATTAAATAATTTTGTGTTTTTGATTTTTGCTATGAAACATCAGATAAATACTTTTTTTATATGTTACAATTATTCTTGCTACATATTTTTATTTGGTATTATAAAAGTAAAACAAAAGAAATTATTTTTACGTTGTTGTACTTGATTATCCTAAATAGTCAAATCCAATTAGAAGTTAATTTCAGTGGCTAAAACAATTAGAAACATTTTCCTAAAAGTACTACTCAAATGTGCAATTTTTTGTTTTTGTTGTTTTGCAAAAGTAAAATTTCCACCAGATGTAGTTAATCCTGCAATCTAACAGAGGAGGCATTTAATTAAAGTATTGTGGCAGAGCCAGTCCAAAGTGCAAGCAAACCAAGCAGCTGCTCAGGGCTCCAGGACAGCAGGGGGCCCCCAAGAGCCTCTGACTTATTGGAATACAGAGGTTAAATTTAATATGTTGTTTCATGAGCTAAATCTATATTGAAAAATTGTATTATGAAAATGGAAAAGAATTTTGAAAAATATTTTTCATTAAAATTTTATATTTTAATTTAAAATTGAAATGGTCAAAAAAAATCCAGACCATAAAATTTGTTTTCAGAAGCTGCACATTATTCACCTGCTAAGTGAAAAAAAAAGACACAAACAAACAAATATTAAATAAATAAATATCATAATAAATATTAGATGATTTGACCATTGGTTCTAAGAAAATGTCACTATTTGTCCCAGAACTTCACTTTGAAAGATGGACCATCCTGCCATAAACTGCAGGGTCCAGAATAAAAGCTTGGGTAGGTTTGGGTCTCATGTCAAATAGGTAACAAGGTCGGCATTCTGCTGGCTTAGAAATATTAGACAAGTTTAACATTTGAAAATGCAGATGTGTCTTCTCAAACCAGTTATTGAACACTCTACTTCTACTTACTGAAGAAAAGTTTTTTATCCACTACTGGAAAATCTCCTTACTGGTTTTCTTGCCAGGCTCAATCAGATTGTAAGTTTTTACTGCTCTAAATGGCGTGGTGCCTTCATTCAAACATTCTTCTCTTGGGGCCCCAGACAGTTTTGCGCCGGCCCTGCATTCTGTGAACGTCTCCGGGTTTCTTACCCTGTGTTTAGGTTGAGTGTACTGTGGCTGGGAGTGGCAGGGCTGGCTGTGCTGCGGGGAGGAGGTGGAGGAGTCGCTGGGGAGGGTGTGGAGCTCAGAGGGGGGTGGGCTGAGGTGAGAGAGGGGTGAGTGGAAGTGAGGCTGGAGGATAGGGGGCAAATGGAGGACATGGTGGTCACCGTTGTGCTGCTGAGACTGGTCACGGCCTGCGACAGCTGGCTGGACATCTGGTCAGAAAAAGACAAAACGGCACCGATAAGACGCCGCGAGACGTCAACAGTCTCCAAACGGAGACACGTCGTCTGATATTCACCATGTGAGGGCTGTAGCAGGGCGGCTTGTGCGTTTGTGGGGCAGTGGGGGGCTGGCTGGGCAGCGGAGGGGTGGCACTGGTCGGGTTGATGCGCTTCTCTTTCTGCCGGCGGTTGCAGAACCAAACCCGGATCACCTCCTTCTCCATGTTCAGCTGCTCCGCGATCAGCAAGATCTCCTCCGAGGTAGGCTTCTGGTTCTGAATGGAAAAATGAGTCTGCATTGTTTCAACTGTGTTGACGAAGCCAGGGTCATAAAAACTAGAACCAAAATGTTATCAGCTGTAATGTAGAAATAAAAACCTGCTAGTGTTTGCACAGAAACACAGCTAGCTACTGAAGGAACATAGAAAAGTTCATAGATAAAAGTCAAATGAACCCTTTGTTAAAAACAAGCAAACAAACAAAAAACAAACAAACAAACAAATGATGCCAGATACAATGAGATGTAAAACTGCCACAACCAGAACTTTAAAAGCCTACAAGACGACAAAATAATTGCTGTTTTTATGTGTTTACTAAAAAGATTTTGTAATTTCCTATCCTGGATCATCAAATCAGCAAACATTACAATCGTTACGTTTCAGTGATGTAAAATACGTAGATAATTGAACAGAAGCTATATTAATAAACAGAATAAAAAAATTTGAATCTTATTTTATAATTATTAGTAATTATAGTAGTAACAAATAAATAAATACAAACATACAAACTTTAAAAACTACATAACAGCTTTCAATAATAATAATAATAGTTATTATTATTATTATTATTATTATTATTATTATTATAAAGACTAATATCTTACCGTCAGGAATGAACGCTCCAGGGCCACTCGTACATTCGTCTCAATGCTGGTTCTCTTCTTTCTCCTGCGACCAGGAACGCCGTCGAAGCCCAGAGACGGAGAGGACAGGGAGCTGGGACTGGGCAAGGTGCTGTCTATGGACATGGTCTCTGCAGGGCAAAACCCAAAGTTAGTCCTCAGTCAAAAGAAGTGACATTGTAAATATATTTTAATAAGATCTCACCTGCATCATTGAGCCACTTTTCCAGCAGTGGCTTCAGCTTGCACATGTTCTTAAAGCTCAGGTTGAGCGCCTCGAAGCGAGAGATGGTGGTCTGGCTGAAGTCGTTGCCGTACAGCTTCCCCATGGCCAGGCCGACGTCCCCCTGGTGGCAGGTGAAAGATAACAGTTTGAGACAAGTCAAAGCAGACAGAGATGCTTCAATGCTGACGCTACATCTGGCTCTGCTCACCTGTGTGAAGCCCAGCTTGATGCGTCTCTGCTTGAAGGTGCGGGCAAACTGTTCCAGCTCCTCCAGGTCGCTGGGCTCCTCGGGGTGAGAGGTCACAGAGGGCACCGTAGTCATGCCTCCTCCTCCGCCCACATCTATGCTCTTATCTCGCTGCACCTGACAGGACATGAGATGAATGAAAGTGAAAATGAGAAAGGAAGTGCTTTTTTTTCTCACCATGCTTGTTGAGGGAGTGGGTTTGTCTTTTCCACTGAGTAAAAAGTTTCCTACCTGTGACTGGAGTCCCATTCTAGTTGGAGCAGACAGGAGGCTCCCTTGGTTTTGCTGAGGTAGCGGAATGAGATTTGGTGTCGACAGGAGTCCTGATCAACAAGAACGCACAAGAAATTATGCATAAGTCAAAAAGAAGGAGACTTTGTCTGCATCAGCAGCCATCGAACCCTTTCACACACCGACCCGTTAAAATAAAAAAAACATCAATGTAGAACAACACAAAGCAGGATGTGTTTGGAACCTGAAAGAAAAATAACCCAAGGTTCTCCACATTATTTTACTATAGGAAATATTTTAAATAGGAGCTATTATTATTCACATTTTGCATGTTTTTGTTCTTACATTTGGGTTTTTGCTGCTTTTTGTTTTTTTTTAAATAGCCCAAGCGCCTGAAAAACCTACACAGTGGAGTTTTTGTCAATAAGTTTATTTTTTTGGTGTCTGAAAAATTTGTCATTTCAAAAACCAGCGAAAAGTAAAGTTACAAATCAGTAGACACTGGTTCTTGCCTTGCAACCCAAGTGAATCTCCAGCACATTTGGTCAGCTGGTTTTACTGCGGTATGGGGCGTACAAAGACTACTGGAAATGACGTGTTTTTTGTTGTTGTTGTTGACTTACCATCCTTAAACCACTTGCTACATTCTTGCTGGTTGTGCAGGAGGCTTTACTTCTGCTTTTCAAAGATGTACAGGCGTATAATTGTGCATCTGTTGCAGCCATTTTCATGTGCGAGTGTAAACTTTGACCAGCTTATTTAGATTTAAAGTGTACAACAATTCTGTCTGAAAAGATCAATCTAAAATATTGATAATATGAATACCAAGTCATTATCTGTATCAGATTAATACTTTAGTTTCAGATTTACTCTTGTTTTTTATTTTCTATTTTTGTATTGTAGTTTCTCAACTCTGCCTCAAAATAAATTTTGTTTTGATTTGGTTTCAAATAGTAATATTTTGCACTTTGTTCTATTTACGAGAATTACACCCAAATCATGTCAATATGTTATTTAATGACTTTGTAGACATCTTTAAACTTTGTCCAAATATTTGAAAAAATAATAATAAAACAAACAAACAAACAAACAACAAAAAACACATTATGTTCAGATGTTTGATGACATATCAAATGTAAATAAAATGTATTTTATCAGTATTGATATAGCCCCTGGCATTGGATCCAAAATATGCAATAATTTGGTATCTGCTCTTGTCCTAGGGCTTTCAAAGTGCAGCTGCATTATATATACAATTAGAGTGACAGTTATTTGTAAATAATATTAGAATAAAAATCCAACTTTCAAAATCTCCATTTTTCTTGGTTTTATTTGTAAAAATAAATTTAACTGTGTATTCCAATTCTTTAACTTCACAATTATGTCCGCTTTGTGTCGGTCCATCACATGACATCCTCTAATGTGACATAATGAGAAAAGGGCATCAATACTTTTATAAAACACTGCATGAATCAAAACGTCTGGCTCTCCCACCTTGCTGGCTCTGCTGTGCCTGCGGGAGGAGAAACTGGGCTGGAGACGGAAGTGGGTGACCGGGAACCAACACCAGCTGCTGAAGCTGCAGCAGCTGCTGAATGTCCTGTTCAACAGAGAAACAAGATCAGAACTGTTAGCAAGATGGAATTGACTCATATTTGCAAAAAAAGGATTTCACAATGGAAAGGCGTGTGAATATATGATTTGTTCTCATTTGAAAAAGGGAGTGGGTCTGGATGTGGAGAAGAATGATAAGAACAAACGGGTGAATCAGGATGAGTTGTTTGACTGACTGAAGGCCCCTCTCTGATCAGGAAATGTCCGGGACTGGCGGTCAGTACCTGGGCTGTGAGCTGGATTGGCTGGGAGAGAGTGAGCTGAGGCGGAGGAGGTGGGACAGGGACACTTTGGGTATTTTTGTCCTGTGTGCTCTGTCCCTGTCCCTGGGACTGAGCCTGTTGCCCTGTCTGTCCTGTGTGCTGCTGCTGCTGCTGTTGCTGCTGCTGCTGCTGCTGCTGCTGGACTTGCTGATTTGCTGCTGCAGCTGCCTGAGCTTGCTGATTGGCTTGAGCGGCAGCATGGGCAGCATGAGCTGCATGGGCTGCATTGGACTGCTGCACGGCGGCAGCAAGGAGCTGCGCCTGAGCCTGCTGCAGCAGCAGCTGTTGCTGCGCTGGCAATAAAGCTGTCAGCTGCAGAAAGAAAGAGGCAGGTACAGATGAGGAAAAGAGCAAGAAGTTAGGACGAAGAAGGGAAACAAAGTGTTCAAAAAGCAGCACGAATAGAAGCAAGCGGGGTAAAGGCATAGCAGCGCGCACGGATGTGCGTATTTGTTAGTCTTACCCCTGCTAGCTGTGAGCCAGTCAGCATGAGCTGAGTGTGCTGCAGGGCTGTCTGGGAAGGAGTCGGGCCGTGAGATGGAGGAAGGCCAGGAGACATTTCTGGGCACTCATCCATCTTATTCTGGTATAAAAACAAAGATCATATGGGGACAAATGTAGAAGAAAATCTACAAGAATAAAAATAGTTGGTGGTGATATCTAAACAGTGAAATAAAATGGTTAAATGTAGAGGCTACTTAGGACTGAGATTAAATTTAAAGTTTTAGGACAAAAGGTTAATCATCTACTGATCCGGATTCAGAGTGAGGTGAGTTTGCTTTCTCTGAGTCAGTTAAAGTGTTATCATTTAACCATCGTTGAACTGTGTTTCCAGTCTGTGTTTGCTCAGCACAAAGGGATGATATTTTTTTCCCAGGCTGAGGCATGTTTGGACTGGAAAACCAAGCTCTTTCCAGTGTACTAATTTGCATATCTCTCGTGGTATGAAAATGAAGATTAATAACTTGGTGAAATGAGACTTACTTAATTTATCACTGGGCTTAGTGACAGCAGAGGGTCTTAATGCGCTTTTTTTTGTGAATTTGTTTACCCCGAAGAGGGGGCGGAGAGCGGACACATTGTCAGCCTGACCGTCCGATGCAACAAAAGAGCAATTCAGAGCTTAGAAATAAGCACAAAGCTTCAGCACCCATACTGCCAATAAGTCTACAGCGTGACGCTGGGATACAAAAGATGCACAAACTCTGAAGCAGAATCACGCAGAGACATGCAGGGGCGGCTCTCTAACACTGAAACACAACAGTTCGCTCACCTTGCTGCTGTTCATGTTTGGTGACAGAGGAAAGGGGCTGACTTTCATCGCCTGAACCTTGGAGAAATTAGTCAAACACTGAATTACATAAACAACCTGAACAATGAATGTTGATATAATGAACTGATATCCATGTGCTTTTCTGACCAAATGAAGAAATAAGTTTAGGGATGTTTCTTGGGGACATTTTCCTAAACGTTTTCTGTCTTGCTTTAAAGCAAAATCTCAGCATGCACACTTTATAAAACAACTACATTTTATTTCAGTCCAAATTATCCTCTCACAATGTATTAAATTTTAAAACCTCACCCTTAGTACCTTTATGATTAGGGGAAACCACAAGAAGAAATTAACATTTGTATCTAAATTGTTTGTGCCACAATTATTAAAAATACCCTATGAAATGACAGTAACTCAAAAATTTTCTTTTAATTTTTAAAGTATCTAATAACGTTTTATTAGTAATAAGTAGCTACTTATATCCCTGAGGTAAACATATGCTATTTATCAAACGTACAAAGGAAGGGGGAAAATGCCATTTAAAAGAAGCAGGTTGATGTTGATCTTCCTAAGAATAGAAAGGACTTATCTTGCTTAATGTTGCCCATAATTGTGTATAGTCAGAGAAAAAAACTTTAAAAACACTGAAAAGTAACAAACACAACTAAAATCTTTCTTCTCCTCATGCAGGTAAAGAGCGCAGAAACAAAATCTATACCAAGTTTCCAAACGGTCATTAAATGCTTGCTGCATGCCAACTTGTTGCTTTGAAAGCATGAAAGGAAAACGTTTCCCCCCCCTGAATCACAAACACAAACACATAAGACTGAAAAGACTGAGTTTAAACTTTTTAGTGACTATCATTTCTGCCTGCTGTGAAATACAGTAGAGGACCTGTAATGCTGAGGGGCTGTTTTTCTTCCAAACAGCTGATTCTTTGATCTGAATATACAGTTTAGATAAAAATCTAGTTTTCTAATAAACTAGTAATGGGTCATTATTTGAATTTTTGACAGGTACCAAAACCAAAACCGGAACCAAAACAAGTCTCTTCTCAGATCCCAAACTAAACCTTGTAGAAAAGAATTAGGAGAAGCTCAAGAAAAAATATTCAGGACTCTGGATGATCAAAAAGTGTTTTTATTTAAAATTTCACATTTTTATTTAAAAAGGAAGAAAAGAAAGCACTTTTTTTGTTGCACATGCTTACAATAAACTATTTTTAATTAAAAAAAAGATGTAAGATTTTGCTTTGCAATGTTTTATAAACTATTGCAGATTCAAAACAAAAAGAGTTTCATATATTTCCCTTATTGAAAAAAAAAAGAAATTCTACATTTTTAAGTAGATTATTAAAATGTTTAATTTATCCTCAGGAGCAAGAGCAGGACATGGATCACTCTTTATTCAAAAGTTTAATGAATGGATTTGACCAAAGTTTGTTTTTGAGTAAAATTCTCTGAATATTTTTGGTCCCTTTTTACTTTAAAACACAACGATGAGAAAGCTCTTTGTGTTTTATGAAATATTTTCTTTAATTAATATTTTTTATTATTTATCAGTGAATTGATCATATTAAAAGACTAAAAACGTGACAAAATTTACACCATTCTCAGTTTGGATTGTGAAATTTTGTTGAAGAGCCATTTCACTAGCAAATGAGATTCTACAAAGTCTTAATTATTGTTCACATAATTTCAAATAAAAACAATGATTTCTTGTTTCCACTGAGGAAAGTATTAAAATGAAAAGTTTGATTAGAAGAGCTACAGGAACAAAAGAGACACTTATTCGACGGGTTGTTGGACATTTTTACCTAAATATATTGAACTTTATTGTTTTTTTTACAAAAAAATTACTTTTTGTAGCCGTTATCTCATTAAGCAGATCAGTTTGTAGGTGAAGATGATTGTAATGATCAGAGGTGTAAGACCAACCTGGTGATTTGATTCAGGTCCATTCCGCTCTGACTCTGCGTAGGAGGCAAAGGAAAAAGTGATAAATCTCATCTCACACACACACACACACACACACCAGTTTACACAAATATTTTCCAATGCCATGTTTGTTACACATCTGTACTAAAGGAGCAGCTACTTATCCGAAATAACTGAGGCCGACCCTACCTGTGCCTTCTAACGGTGAGTCACCCCCGACTTTCTCCACCTCTGCTGGCTTTGACATCCTGATATCTGCGGCAGGAAAGACACGAGTAAAACGTCACAGAAGAAGAAGTGCCGATTATAGCAGAACGTGTAAGTGACCAGAATCTAGATGACAACAGGGGAAAGCGGAAGGCCAGGGCGGCGATCTCCGATATGTTGGGGTTGAGTGTTTTTCAGGTCACAGAGAGAAGCCTACACACTGTAAACTTAAACTGAATCATTCACAACTATATATCCAACCCACATTCATTCACTCTTTCCAATTAGTGGTTGAACATAGGAGTGGGTTGACCTAAAGGTGTTTGCTTGTTCTAAATTTAACCCGGGTGTTTTCGTGGGAGTAAAGGAGCTCTGAAAATGTCTCATGTTGTTTGTCATTCATCACAATACCGCATCACTTTCTGGTTCTTTTGTTTGGGACAGTCCCAGTGGCGACAGTCATGAATGGGGCAAGGCTGCAAATGTAAGTCTTTGCTTCGGTTTGTCAGGACAAAAGTGGAATTTAGGCTTGGGAAGACAGGAATGGGGATGTTTGAGAGGAGTTTACGCAGAAAACAAAGGTGTGTAATGGTGTGCGTGCCTATAGATGTGCCAGTGTGCCGTAGCTTATGTTTGGTTATCAGCCTGTGGCATTATCTGCCTCTAAAGCCTTTTTATTTATCTGAAACCACAAACTGTAAAAAAAAAACCTTTTTGTTGTGTCCATTTGAAACCATTTCTCCCCCCACTGCCTTGCTCTGCCTTCCCTTAACACTCACACACACACTCACACACACACACACACACACACACACACACACACACACACACACACACACACACACACACACACACACACACACACACACACACACACACACACAACACACACACACACACCCAGAGCAACTTCCCTTTTGTGAAAACATGCAAATCTGCCCAACGACCAACTAATTATATCTGCCACCTGCATAATAAACTCTCAGTCTCCCTTCTCATGTTCAGCCTCTCTTCTGTCTCGGTTTTGTTGTCGCACATGATGCCCCGATTTCATTTATCTTGCAACATGAAGACAAATGTGACCAAATCCTGACCACTCGCGTTGCAAATGGTCAAGCAGTTTTTTCGCCACTGGGTGGCAGAAGCGACACACCGATTCCCTGACCACTGCTGACCAGATGCCCTGTTTAAAGTGAGCCAGCCATCAGTCAGATGTCACCTCTACAGCTCAGATAATTTCACCTCATCGTTGGCTTGGGTTCACATTTCTTGCCTTGCTTGCTCTTATTTCACACCTATGCACTTAAAAACCTTAAGAATCCTTTAATTTATCTTTTTAAGGCAAGTATTTTCATATATTATGGAGACCCCATGTGTAGTTTAACTCAACTAAATTAATCTAATTTAATTTTTGCCTTCTGATGGCTTCATTTCATTCCTTATTACTGTCAACGCTGATCAAACCAAAATAACTGAGGGAAATTCTGCAGGTAAGCATCATTTATTAATAGACATAACATTTTCTTACACTTGGATACAGAAAAGTAGCATCCAAAGCAGGCATTGATTGGTGTATGGTCACCACAAAGATGATTATTGCTTTTATAGCTAAAGATGTTGGGCTGAAAGTCTACAAGCAAAATGTTTGCAACTTCTTAAAAAGTGTACAATTCTAAATTTCAGACCATGAAAAGAATTAAATGTGGTCAAACAATAGGCTAAAAATGACTTTTTTATGTATCTGTGTTTATTCATTTCTTTGGACTAAAATATTTAAGAAAATAAGCTGTGACAAAACCGCAAATGTCATAATACGGAGACGCAATAAGCCTCATCTTAGGGATATTTAGGTTTCCTCATAAAATAGTTCAACCTCTGAAACGGACTTTCTGGTGAAAAATTATGTTTACGTCAATACATTTATTTTCCTCCACACGCTTCTGAAATCACTAGATGCAGATATAATAAAGCATAACATGCTAGCAGCCATTGTAATCGCTGTAATAACCATCATAAATTTTACTATCTGGTGTTGGACGGCCTTGAAGCGTCAGCAAAAAAAGTTCGAGTCCCATTCCACTGTGGTAGTTAAAGTTATCTTAAATATACTTAAGCTCTTACGCAGGTTATGTTATATTTCATGTGTCTTAACTTAAATTAGTAATGATCTTAGAAATGTTTAAATTAACTTTCTTTAAACCTGCAGAAACCCTGAACAGCTGAATAAAGGAAACGTTCAGGCGATGGTCACCGCAGAACAAATATGTAGCCTGTCAGAAAGTTTTATGGCAAACTTTTAAAAAAATTATTATGACTTTAACCACAACAAGATTTAAAGAGTTGGAACATGGATTTTGATATTCAATTTTGCACAGGTTATGCTTTCTTTTTTTTTTTTTAATAGTATGCCAGTTTTGAGTTTCCATCAGTCGCTCAAAAGCAAAAATAGAACCACTTGATATCCTGATACGGCTTATTTTTTTGAAGCACCACTTCACCATAGAAAGTTGAACCCAGACACAGTTAACATTTACATCTGTTTTCACAACATGGGATCATCTCTGAGTTACATACTGGATGAAACTAATAGCTATACCGATTTGATGCAGAGCAACTCCATGTGAAAATTCAAACTAGTTGTAATTTTTAAGCATAGATAGACGACTTCATGTAGTTCACATGAAGTCAGTGCCTCACATACGAGATGCCAGTATTGAAACCAATCCAACTTGGTGTCCATCCAGCGTCAGCAGAATCCAGAAAGAACCCACATACGCATGTTGTCAGGTTCCTAGCGCTCCCTGCAGCAGCAACATGTTTGTTTTAACGAACCAGATGTGAGATCAGTCAGCTTCAGAGCATGCATGAATGTCTTCAGGGAATCGGGGAGCTTAGGTGACGATCTGCTTGAGAAGCTCCACTCGCTGCATGACAGTGAGGGCCCACACACGCGTGCAAACCAACATGCTGACTGCAGGATTTCCCTCAAAACGTTGAAGCTAATTTGGTCAGGATGCAAAATTAAGGATGCTGGTTAGTCTATTTTCAGGGTCAGTTTGTGGTTGTTCCCATTTTACATACAGTAAGCCCCCCTGTTTTGGGGACTTTGTGATGGCGACTATTGGGGAAATATGAGAAGTGTCCACTGTTGCTCAATTTCTGCTGAAAACCACAGAATTTGCCCCAAAATAGCATCTTCCTCTTATTTACAAAAAAACTCACCACAGAATTGGTAAGAAGACACAGTCATTACTTTAATAGCTGCTTGGATCGAGACGTTTGGAGCTTATGGTTACAAAACCAAACTCAAGCGGATGAAATGATGCATGTTCTTCTCGTCCATGTGTGCAGCAGATGGAGAAAAGGTGTTTGCCTTTTCATGGCGTGAAACGGCCTGCAGACGGTAGCATGGTGGATAATGTGGTCAGTAATATGGTGGCGGGACAGTATATCAAGATGCTGTGTCTTTTTCTCACTTCCCCTCCCGACTTCCCCTTGTACCGGGTTGAATGCTGAGTGCTAAACCCGACATTTACTGTCAGTGTAGCTATTAATATTAACCTGCTCTCCCTCTCTCACTCTCTCTTTCACTCCATCTTTTAAAAAAAAAACCTGCTTATCTTAAACAACACGCTGCTGCGCGTTCAAACACACAACTTATTTTACCCATCACAATACGTTAATGGCGAGACGATGATATTAGGAGCAAGGAGATGCATATTTCTGCACAAACACAATGAAAACCAGCAGGAAGGAACTCTTTTTCTTAGGTAGCTTCAGGGTTCAGGGGGTTTGATCTGTGACTGTGTGAAGCCAGAAGGCGAAACCAGATGAAATGCTGTATCGTAACCAGATAAAAATTACTGCTGTATAATCCTGTTTCATGAATAAATGATGCAACAGAAAGGAATGAGGAACAACACTGTCTGTCCACAGTCTGGACTGTTTCTGTCATTCTCATCTGGGTAATTTGGCTCAGATAAACTTCACTGCAACAAGTCTGAGCCCCAAAGCCCTCACCCCACTTCCTGAATCAGGTTTGGATGTGGAGTTATTAGGATTATTCTTCAATAATTTGAATGAATAAGAAATATAAATCCAACAAGACGCTCACTTCAGCTATAATAAAACGATTTTTTAGCATCAGAAAGAAATTTAACTCATTTCAGATACCAACCAAACAAAGCAGTACGTAAACTATTATAGGATAATAAAATGAAACAACAAAATATTTTAATCAAATGTGAACGTAAAGAATAAAATAATACAGAAAGACGTGTAAATAAAAACGAAATTGCTGGTTAATGATGAAGGTTTGTGTTTCATCATTGTCAGCTTGATAAAACAGTTAAACATTAAATAAAATAAACTCATAAACAGTCTAATGTGATGATAGCAAAGTCTGATACCAGACTAGTGCAGAAAATAGCAAAAATTTCACATATTATAACACAATTTTTCTGCCAAAACAATAAGAAAACGTCACGGAAAATGAATTAGATGGAAATGAATGTAGGGATTTAAATGAATCAATTTTAAATTAATATTAAAATTTCTTAGTTAATTTCTAATCTCCTGAATTGGGAAATTGTTTCACTTTTACACTCGATTATAGAGCGGATCCTTTAGTTGTATGCAAACACATGCAAAATAACTTCAGACTCCGCTATCAGAGCTTCTGACATAACTTTCTTCTTTTACCAGTTTCTACCTTTGCTTCGTCTGCATTGTTTTCCACTGTGTTACAGTGAAACTGTTACTGTTTGCTGCTTTCTGTGCGGCTGATGTGTCACCCTGGTGATCGGAGCAATTTCTCCGAGGCCGCAGAGAGTGACCACATCGGGGTTAAGATGTGACTGAGCTTTTTCAAATCTGTGAATCACCCTCTGATAAAAAGTTACACATCAGCGAATGAAAATTTGCAACATGTTTAGCAAATTGAGTCTTGACGACGGGCCCAGAGAAAACATGAGCTAATTGACATTTGAAAAATTGATTTCTGGTAATTGGTGAGTCAACCAGCAGCCCTGCTGTGTGTGTGTGTGTGT